AATATGAAAATGTAAAACAAATCAAACATATCAGTAATTATAGTAAATGTCGGGATGCCTGGGTGGCTCAGTCGATTAACTGTCTCCTTTGGCTCAGGTCATGGTCTCATGATCCTGGAATCGAGCCCCATGACTGGCTCCCTCCTCAGTGGGGAGTATGCTTCTCCCCCTCCCTCTCCCTCTGTGCTCTCTCTCTCCCTCAATAATAAATAAAATCTTTAAAAATAATTACATTAAATGCAAATGGCCAAAACATATCAATTCAAAGATACAGACTTTCAAGATGGGTAAGAAATACTAGATAATCAAATTAATCCCTACTTTGCAAGTTCTCTCATTTTACAGTGAGGAAATGAGATTTAGAGGGGAATTAACTTACTCAAGATCTTACATCAACTAGATTCAGATGAGAGTTTTTCTTACTTAATAAGTATCATCCCTATTACTGTACCGAATACTCTTAGTTCTCTATGGTATTGATGAGATATGATTGATGATGATGATGATGATGATGGTAAAATGAGGGCAATGAGGCGGCATCCTGTCAGGACTAGTTTCAGATTTCACTGCATGTGAGTCATGAACTTGTGCCAGGGAAATGTGTTAGTAGGAGCTCAATTGGAAAAACCAATAACCATAAAAGGAGAGAGAGAGAGTCAAAGATGGTTGAAATGGCATCAAGCCCTATAGTGAAAAATAGGTCTGACCCAATTTCCAGTCTCCTCCTGCTAGAAAATAAAGGAGGACCAAGTTTTCCCAGGCTTTTCTTGAGAATTGGTTGCCATTCTGATGAAGGCAGAGAATGAGAGCTAATTTCCAGGTGTGTCTTTTGTTGCACTCTCCTTGCATTCAGCAAGTTCTAAGCATGGGAACTCAGGACAGCAGAAGGAAATTTATGGCTCTCCTTTCTCATCATTAGGACAAGTTAAGTGGGCATATGAAGCTTAACAGGATGTGTTTCTAATAAACAAGATAAGGGACAAGGACTGGAGAAATACAGGGTAGATGGGCTTACATGGTAAAATACAGAAACAAATATCACTGCATTGCTTGGCTTTCTGGAACAGACAAGGAATATTCTTTTCTTGCTTGTAACAGGGTTAGTCATTGTACATGTAATAGAGAAAGAGTCATGTCTTGCCTCTTATTTGGCTTCGAGAGGATAACACTGGGCAGAGAAGAAAATATCAAGGGTGACAATTTTGCTTGCAGAGGATAGTATGCTCCGAGTCAAAGTGTGGAAAAAACTACTGTAACTTAATTCTGTCCCAGGAATTGATGGTCTGATCCAAGACAGTAAATCAGACAGACTACGGTGCTAAGAGAATCTCAGCTAAAACTACACAGTAAGAGGAAAGTGAACCTCTTTCCAAGTAACAGAGAAGCATGTCTTAGCATATTTACCCTAAACAAAATGGCATTGTGAACCATGACAGGAGAGATGAGAAATAAAGTCAGTTTTCTACAAAGGTCCAGATAATTTATGGATGCCCTTGATGTCTTCGGGGGTTATTATTTCAAGACAGCAGCCACACTTATTGACCTCATTCAGATCCAAATATTTTGTGCAGAAAAGTAAGTACCAATTTAATGGGGCTGTTTAGATAAACGTCTCTCTGGGCTCAGACAGAAGAAGTTGTCCTTCAATCAATTCAAAATAAATAGACAATTTTAATATAAGGCCAAATCCCTTATCAAGGAATCTCTAAATATACCATTACATCATCTCTTGGAGATTAGGCAGGATGCCAGAATATGGCAAGGACGTGGCAGTGGCTTCGCATCTACCACCACCACCTGCTGTTCAAATTGTCTACGCCTCATTAGAAAGGGAGTCTTCCACTAATAACTCTCATGGATACTTATAACTTACAAGATGTCTGGAAATCCATATTCATCCACTCTTAAATAGGCACATAATACATATAAAATACGCTCTTCTAGGAGGTCATATAGTAAAGTGGTTCTCAACTCCTGTAGATAATAATCACCTGTCTTCACTTCAAACCACTTTTGTTCATTTTTCTAGACTTGAGACTTGAGTCTAGGTGGTTCTAACATGCAATCAGGATAAGAACCACTGAATAGATCCAATAATAGGAACCGAATAGGTCCTTTTATTTCTGCAAATAAATGTAAAAGACCTGAAAATTAAATCACCATATGCATTTTGATTGATGAATTAATTATTGGAATCCTTCATCTGGAAAAAAGATACATACACTTAACCAGGACTCAAGTCTAGTTGTAGAGGCAATGGATGGAGGAAGCAAGAGCAATTTCTGCTCTGAGGACCAAGTTCTAGATAACTATGTATGATCTCTGTCAGAGAATTGGATAGCCCCCTGCAAGTCCACAATTATGTTGGTTGTATTCTAACAGACCATAGTCATTAGTTTGAGGCAAGTCAAAAGTAGCTCTAGCATTTAAGATGGAGAGTAGGTTAGTCAAGTGAATTAATGTCACCCTTTCCCAAAATTCCATGCTTAGTGTATTGAGATGTGCCAGCACAGGCTATCTGATGTAGTGTGGGTGGGGTTGTACCACTGAAACCATGAAATAAGGGTATTGTAATGGATGTTCACCTATTTAACCAGATATGCCGAGCCAATAGATTCTGTTCTCTTATTACAGTTACCTGGCCAAGGAAAAGAGCTACTACTCAAAAAATTCAGGTAAAAGATGTAAACTAATTCAAAGCTAAGTTAGTCAACCAAGTGATGTGACAATCTGGAAATGCAGAGATGGAGCAAAAAGATGAAGCCAAGGATGAAAATGGGTTTGACAGAGCCAAGTGAAAGCATAGATTGGTGGACATGTAACATATATTAAAGACCTCCTCTTATTTATTAAAGTTCTCTGTGTATGTATTGGGAGGATTGCTAATTAGATTAATGGAAACCAAATTGAGGACAGAAAGTTTAAAATGTCACAAAACCATGTGTCTTCTATAAGGTCACATACTTCTTAAGATAAAGAGCTTCCATCATTTCTGAAATCTCACTCCAGTTTAAGGGAAGTGAGATGAAGTGCATTATAGTTAATCCCCCAAAACAGATTGATCTGATCATACAAAGTTAGGTATAATCCACAAAGTTAAATAGAAGATTCATGATAAGTCACTGGATGGGAATTTTGTAGTGCATCTGGAAAATTCTGATTATATATCTATTAGAGTTTATGCTTCTCAAGGACTTAATACTATTAGAATTATTATCAGTCTATTAGCAAAACTCCATCTTAATTTGAATTATAGAGATGAAAAGGTGAAAAAATACCTAGATGCCTAAATAAAAATAAACCTGAATGTTATTTTTTTATGAGATTGTTAAAAAGGCTAATGCAATCTTAACATTGTTACTGGAACGAGAATGAGGGAATGTCTCTGGACCAGTTATATCAAGAATATCATGTTGGGTTATGCACTCCAAGTTATTAGAGTTTGCTCTGAGTGAAGTAAACAGAATGGTAACCAAACAAAATAGTTAAAAAACCTGAAGATATTTCTAGATAGTAGATCTAGAGTAGAAAACACTTGAAGAGTGAGAAAGAGATGACTATGCTCTTCAAATATCTGTATGACTTTCCCACAGGTAAAGGATTAAATTGGCATTGACTAGACCTAGGGAGTGATATTTGAAACAATGGGTAGAAACTACAGAACAACACGTTACTTCATACAAAGAAGAACTTTATAAAACCAGTATTGCTGCCAAGTGCAATTGGCTGCTTTGGGAGATTACTATGTTTATCGTCATCCAGTGTTCAAGTGTATGCTAGAATCTAGAGAAAAGACTCAAAAATAGTCTATATGGCTGTCCCAGGAGACTTTGAAGTCCCAAATAGCCCTGACTTTACAACTTGGAATGACTCCTGGATGATGTTTTGAGAAGCATTTTGTAAGAGCCTAATCCTTAAAGCATTTTTTTTTCTTTTTTATGACTGTGAGAAAGTAGATATGATATAACCTCTGATTTAAAATAGCTAAGTTGCATTTTCTAGTCCTCTCTGTGATGCTCATCTAAAAGCACTGAAATATTGAGTTGTCAAATGCACCACTCTTCTTTAAAATTGCAGCAGTTTGCGTCTTCTTCAGTGACCCATACAGTGCCTTTGTATAGCAGGCATTTGGGGAACTAAATCTATAATACTTGTCTGTTCCCTCTGTGGTTCATGGCAGTAACTTTAATTCACTACTATTTGCAGAATTTTCTCTGCCAGTTTTTAGAAAATCCAACGAGTTGTAGTAGGAAATACATCCATTAACAAGAAATGGAAATGTGCCATATTTTGTTACTCGGCCTTCATTTCTAATTCCTCTTTATAAATGGACGCTGAATTTCATTTAAATATTCACCCCTCGTCTACGCAGACCTGTATCCTTGGGGAAGTACATCCAGCAGACAAGTCCAAGAAAGGGCTCAGGTTCACTTTAAACTCATCAAATCATCTCAAATTCTGGCCACGGTGGTTCATCCAAGTATGGATGCATCACCCAATGTAAGCCAATGAGATTTTAGGATTTTTTTTTGGGGGGGGGTTGCTTGGTTTTGTTTTGTTTTTTTTTTGTTTGTGTGTGTGTGTTTTGTTGTTGTTTGTTCTGTTTTGTTTTGGTGGGACGGTGAGAGAGAACAGTTAAGATGATATGCACCTGTGGCGTCTGCGACTCACAGAGGAGTGAACACTGACTGGAAGACGGACGTTTTCACACGTGCAGGTGGGTGGAGCTGAAGAACTAAGGACAAATTAAGCCTATGATGCTATGAATCCAGTTGGGTTTGGGGATTCTGTTCCGAGAAACCAGAAGCATCCTAACAGATACAGAGACACAAATAAACCCAAATATCTCACTGACCAAACTTTGAATAACTTTCTTTTATTGGAATCAACTCGGTTTTTCCTCCATCTCCTCCTCTGAACACTCTTCCCATGTTTCATTCATAAGTATTTCCCAAGTAAAGTGTGGTTTTCATGTCTCCATAACTTTTCAAACTATTTCCTCTACTTGAGGGGCCCCTTGTCATCTCTTTGATCACTCAGTAAATCACTTTTTTTTTTCAATCAGTACCTTCCCTGTAGGTTTCATTGTTGCATTGCCAGTTGTATGTAAAAGTTTATTGTAACATTAACTTTCAGGTATTACCTTATTTATTTATGTTTGCCTTTCTTAGTTTTTTTTAGACTAAAATTTAGTTTACAATCCCTAAACTCAATGACATCTCTAGTTAGTATACTGTGAATCAATGAAGAAATGAATGTGAACTCTATTTTTTAATCCTCAAAAAGTAAGACATTAAGTTGACCACTAGCTGTTTCATATTTAGCAAGTAATTTTTACTTTTGGTTATGACGTTCAATGAAAATTCTGACTTATTCCCCTTTTGTGAATCTAATTTTAATCTTTTAAAATAAGACACAGCACTTTTTTGGTGGCATGTTATAGGATAAGTACATTTTTAAAAAGGAGAGACTTCCCAGAGAAGTTTAATGCCAAAAAAAATTGCAAGTATTTTGTCTACATGCATGAACATCTCATGATTTTAATTTTTACTTCAGGAAGATTGTGACGTATAAACATTTTATAAATCTTATCTCAAAAAATAATGATTTGAATAGTCTGTGCTTCAATGCAAAAATGAAACATTAATTTGTTCAGTTTCTCATACAACATGTTTATTAAACATTTCAGTGTCAATAATTTCTTAGAATTGTAACATTTAACCTTGTAATGGAACTAATGCCAATTCTATTCATGGGAGTATATTCTGGACTTTTGAACGACTTTAAGTAAAATGAATGCCACTGTCTTCAGGTTGTGCTTGGAGCAAAGACAAGGAAACATCAACTCATTCTTTCCAACTAATAAAACATCTAATGATGCAATGTTTATGATGACATTACTTTAGAGCTATTGTACTGTTAAATATATTTTTGCTTCTGTTACAAAAGCCTAATATATCATCTCTGAACATTAGCAATTTTCACATTATTTAGATTTTAAATAATGAATTTTTAACTTGGACTCCAAGGAAAAATCCTGAAAAATAAAGATCTGCGTTTAGCATCTTTTTCCTTCCCTTAACCATAACTCTTCAATCTGATATGACTTTTCATGGAATCTATGTCAGAAGTATAGCTTTTTAAGATAAATTTAAAAAAAAAATCTCACTTCTATATGAAAGAGGGAATTCAGAATCACTGAAGTTCTGAAGGAGCATGTGCTTTGATGATTATTTCCACCAGTTCCTTATTTTTATTATAAAGTGGCAATTTATATCACCATTAGAAATATACATTTGTATATAAAGTTTTGCATTCAAATCTCTTTATTTTTTGGTTAGCTATGGCTAAAGAACACAAGTCAAATAAAAACTCTACCCTTATTTCAGAAGCATATGTATATATACACATATATACTTGTAGAACAATCCACTGTTTTAAATGTGATTCTGATTTAAAAAATGCTATTTACAATTTTATGACAGAGAAATAATCTCAGCCTTTATGCTATTAAAATGAGCAAGGAATTTGGATGTTTGAGTGTGTCTCACCTTGTGCAGACGAAATTAGGCAACACCATGGAAAAACCTTCTCAGAGCAAGGCCTTGTAGACTAAGCCATGAGGATAGAAGAGATTTGCTATTTCTGGGTCCATGTTTAAAAAAATTAGTGTTGATGTAGTCATGCTTCTTCACCAAGAAATCAGTGGTCTCAATTTAGGACCTTCGAACTTTGTAATACACGACAAGCCATTCTTCATCCTTTTACTATTGCCTTAATATTCTCATCTCGTCCTAGTGGCACCATAGGACCACCATCCATAGATATAATAATATCTATCTACAGCAGTGTCATTTTCCTAAATTGAAGAATTCTTCTAAAAAGCTACTGGGTTAAAATGAGGCCCATAAAGCATCACAATTTACATCAAATTGATGTCTCTTTATTGCGCCCATCCATAGTGGCTAAAAATGTGCTATGAAATTCATATGTAAAATTTGAAACCTAAACTATTACTGTGATCAAGAACAGGTTGGCTGGCTGTCCTCTGGTTTCCTGAAGCACAAAAGGCTCTGAATTAGCAAATGGAACTTCAGCACCATTTTGTTTCTATACCTCTAACTTCTAGCTTAAAAATCAATTGAAGTATGTTGACCAGAAAACTATTTAGAGATTCTCAAAAGTCTTGTTTTCATTCTTAAGCCCATTGATTTTGAAACATGTTATACAATAAAGACTCTTAGAATAAACACATCTTGACTTATATGTACACAGTCAATTACAAAGCTTTACTAAAAGTTATATTTTTCCTGAGAATATCCCAATGCATTGAAAAAAGAAAGAGCTTATTTTATTTATAGGAACATAAGAGATGGGTGAATTGAGACCCAGAAATGGGAATGACAAAAATCAAAGTAACAAATTCTTTCACGTGGAAGAAAGATGAAAACTACTTAAACTGGCTCATATTTTTAGAGGAAATAGGATACTTATATGTTTATATTTGGTAAACTTCTGAAAACCTAGACAGTGAATACTGACTTTTTCTTTTAAAAGATTTAGGTACTTTAAAAGTAAGCAGCGGTTAAGCAAATGTTCACCCTACAGTTTTTGTCAGGTTAATATGTAAAAGAAATATGATGTTTCCCATTTATTCTTTAAAATTAATTGTAAATAAGGCAAAGCTAATTTCTAAACGTTTTACTATGGTCAGCATTTGCTTAAATGATGTGGGAAAAACATTATAGAAATTGGGTGATTAAGCTTCTGTTTCTTAATTGCTATCAGGAAGAAGATAAATATGAGTCTAGGTGATAAACGATGACAGCCATTGAAAATTAAGGGGAAAATTGTGTTGGGAGTTCATATCTTTATTACATTTTTCATAATACTTAACCAGATTAAATATATTGTCATGAAATCATTACTGTAATTAATAACACTTTGTGACATTGTCAATTGTGTTACTGATAAGTTTGCAGGGTCGTAGGGGTGTGTGTGTGTGTGTGTGTGTGTGTGTGTATCACCATAAAATCTCAAGTCATTTCATGCTAAATGAGCCTGAGATCCATTTTGTAGAATCCTCTTTCTTTTTATTTTTTCAAAGAAAACAGGCTTTGTGCTTGGGATTTGTTTGGTCCTGGAAGTGACAAGTGTGTTTAAAATCAAGTTGAATCAAGAGTGACAAGCAGAAATACAAACAGTATTGTAATTTTTTTTTTACAAGGGTATTCTTTTCCTACAAGAGTAACATTCTTTTTATTTTCTTTTAAGTGTCTTTATTTGTTACTTTCAAAATATTTTTGGTTAAACAAATATCTTTTGCAAATTTGTGTTCAAAATCCTTGCCAAGATGCCTAATTTTTAGTCTTTACAACTGATAAGGCAAATTCCTCCATTTCATTTGCTGCTACCCTCCTGATAACCTAAATAGAATGCTTGGTGAAGGACACAAACCACTATTAAAGAATAATGATTGTGTAGAGTGAGGGGAATTACACTGACTTTGAAAGAATACAGCAACCAATGGCAAGGTCATTTAAGTGAAGGCCTAGAGCTTCTGCAGAGTGTATATATTTTAGGGAGTTGTATTTGGAACAATACATGCTGGACAGTAGAGCTATAGGAGAAGTAACATGCTAAGTCTTCTCATTGGTAATATCCATAATTCTGCATACATTTTTTAACATTCTGTTTTATTTTAATTTGGGTGTCTCTATACCACTCCTGATTTGTAGGACTAAGTACGTCTATTTTTTCCAAGGCAATTGTATAACATTAATTTCTTCCCTGATATTTTTCTAATCCTTTATTATTCCTAACTATGCATTTGCCTAGTCCTTAACCTGAGGGTTCTTTTTTTTTTTTTTTTACTACTTTAAATTCACACAACGGTATGTTGGAACCATAGCTGTTAATTCTGTATCATTTCTCTATGCCCCTTGAAAATTCAGTATATTAAGTTCCCTTCTATGTTCTAGGAGTCAGACTTACTGTCAACTATACTTAATAACAAAGTTATATAGCAACAAGCAAGCCACTGGCTTCATGAGATGGTAAGTTAGGAATTTCATAGCCATGCCTCCTAATTTCTTGGTGAAGTCTGGAAAATGCTACATACATAAAACTCTGGTAAGGTACAATGGCAAATACGATTTGCTTTAACAATTTCCTAGGACTTATTTCCTTACGTGAAACCCCTTTTATTCTTTCCTGCTGCAAGAGATGGTACAAAACTCTCTAACACAGCTGGACATGCACCTGTACTCTCAAAACTGTGCACAATGTAAAAAAACAGACCACATGATAAGACCATATGACTTATTCATCACCGCCCAGGCATGGCAATGACACAGAATTCCCAAAAGTTACCTCAGCCTTAGAACACATTTTTTTTTTCCTAAAGGATGAATAAAAATGAGATCCTGGATTAATTCCTTTGATAAAAATATGATAATCTTCTAGGTTAATCTGAAACTTTTTATGAAGGAGTGAAATCAGCTAATATCATTAAATTCAACAGAAGTCTGTCTTTTGCATAAAATAATTATAAGTAACAACTTCAAGAAAAATTTTTTTAAACTTTTAAATGATTCCTGGCTTATATCATACAGGCATTAGAAGAATCTAGATTCGTACATGTTCAATATCATGATTAAAAAAAAATCCTGGAGACAGGATGTAATTATGTGTCAATTCCAGATGCCCAAAGAAAATTCAAATTCAACACAAAGCACACATCACAGCATTACCCAAAGTTTAAATTATTCAGGGTATTACATTGATTTGTAAGTTCAATTCTCCAAAACCCTTGTCTTTAAGATAGTAACTTTATTTCAAATTTATTATAGTTATTGTCTTCATTATAATTAGCCTCTATTAATAACAGTACAATGTTGTGATGTCTTGATTTATTTTTTCCCTTGATTTTATGTGTGCTAATATTTGTGCATGTGCATTTTCTACCACATTGCAACAGGCAAGCTTTGGTTCAATTTCTTTGTCCTACACAAAGGAAGATTTTTGAGTGCAGAATCTTAGTCACTAGGTCCTGGATTGCCATTTTATTTTCCTCTCCTTGGGTGGATTTAATTGGAAGGAAATGGGTAAAGGGGAGGGAAAAAAGGGAAGGGATGAAAGAGGGATGAAGGGAAGAGTTCTCAGCTATGTTGAATCTTGATTCACGACTTTGCCTCCATTCATGGTTGGTGTTCCAGAACTTTTCCTTGAACGCCCTTGTTTTTCTCCAATTTCATGTAGTGATGGCTCTCTGTACATACACACTGAAAAGCAAAATTACATCAATTACTTATAATTGTAGACATCAGTTTGGCCTCAATAAGCATCTCAAGTTTGATTTTACAATATTCTTCACTCTCATTCACTAGCTCTCCTCCCCAGTGTAAAATGACTTTTCACTTGATAACATATTTATTGGATATGTATGGTCCTCTTCCAGTTGTAGCAGTCATAACCTTTTAAGTCTTCTTGAACTGCGGACATAGAGTGATTTCTGTTCTCCTACAGATAAGGCTAGAATCTTACCTGTCTGCTAACCTATATAACAGGATTTTCATCTAGAGTTAGAGGAGACACTGCAAGTATAACATTAAAAGCGTAGGCATAGATACTTTTTAAAGTCCTGAGTCTGCAGTCTAGTTTGCATAGGAAAAAAAATCCTTATTTACATGTTCCCAATCTTTACCCTACTACAAGAAACACAACACTGTTAGATCAAATTGAAATATTTATCAACAATTTTCAAGGTATCCTACATAAAAAAAATGATAATAGGAGGGAGGACAGAGGAAAACAAACAAACCAAACATCATTTTCCTGATTGCTCCAGGTTTGAATATGCAACTGTGAGATTTTAGTTCACATTTATATAAAACTGTTCCTCTCCTCTATTGTTTGGTCTGGCTCTAAAGCTCAGTCATCTGTGAATTATCATGGCTATTGCTAGATAATTGCACAGAAAGAATAATATTTTTCAACTCATAGTTATTCTTGTAAGATAGGATCTTCGTTCCTTACATTGTTGTGAAATAGACAAATGTGTACAAGCATATGAAATATTTCACTTAAACATCAGGAATTATTTTTATCCTTGATTTAGGAACAAACAGCTAAGTACCTCCATGTATTGAATCATCAATACAGGGCTTTAGTAATCTAAATGCTCTTTCTAATCAAATAGCTTCCTTGCCTGGGCTTTGCCCTGGTACAGGAGACCTGAGCATGGCTATGACCAAATAGATGTCATGTGGTGGTTAAGAGCACCAACCTGGGAGCCACACCACTTGTGTCCCCAACTTCAGTCAGCTACTCACTAGTTCTGTCAACTTAGATACACTGTTGTAGTTAAAAAACTAAATTTTTATGAGAATTAAGTGCCTGGCATATACTAAACATCCAAAGATGTTTAAGAAAATGAGGGAGCTGATCTTTTCATTAGAATTTTGAGTAACAGATTTCAGAGAAGAAAGTGATAATTTTGGGGGGTGGCTAAAGATATTCTAAATTAAAAACTAGATTAAGAGAATTAAGATATAAAAAAATTCTCTTTAGACTAGTTTAGTGATGAGGACACAGGTTTTTTTTTTTTTCTCCCTCAATATTTCAGTGGTAGAGCTTCTTCTTCTTCTTCTTCTTTTTTTTTAAGATTTTATTTATTATGAAAGACACACACACACACACACACAGAGGCAGAGACACAGGCAGAGGGAGAAGCAGGCTCCATGCAGGGAACCCAATGTGGGACTTGATCCCGGGACTCCAGGATCAGGCCCTGAGCCAAAGGCAGATGTTCAACTGCTGAGCCACCCAGGTGTCCTGCAGTGGAAGAGCTTCTTAAACGTTAATGTGCTTTCAAATCATCCAGGGATATTTTGTTCAAATCCAGAATCTGATACAGAAGGTTTCTGTGGAGTTGAGATTCTACATTTTTAATAAGTTCCCAGGTGATGCTGGTCTTGGCAAATGGAACTACACTTTGGGTAGTACAAAATATGTAAACAAACTATGTTTGGCTAAGTATAATGTGCAAAACTATTACACACAAATATTTTATTTTTATTTTATTGCATTTTTACATATATATATTTTTAAATGAGATTTTAAAGTATTTCAATTATTGCACTAAATGGCTCCTCCAATATCCCAAAGACTTTTGGTCTAAGTAGCAAAGTTGTACAGAGAAAATGAGTTGAGAAAGAATTGATGCTTAATTTTCAGATGATGCCAGTAGATAATTTAAGTTTTCACTTTCTCTTACAAAAGACAGAAGATCCTATGGAAGGTCCTATGGAAATCTTGTAATACCTCAAGTCTAATGTCTCTTACATATATTTCTGTTATGGGAAAATGTCAAAATCTCAAAAATTAAAGCATGCATTGATATATGCAAAATAAAGCTATTTATTTATAACTGGTAAGTCTACAGGGAACTCAGAAGTAATGAAGTGATTCTATTAGAAAGCTATTTATGTGATACCATAAAACAGTTTTCCCTACTCTGCACCTAGTCAACTGTGAAAACCAATACATCTCCAGGCCTGACTACAAACTGCTAAATCAGAGTCTCAAAGAACGCATAATAGAGGAGGGGGCCTGGGTGGTTCAGTTAGTTAAGCATCTGACTCTTGATTTTGGCTCAGGTCATGATCTCAGGGTGAGAGGATTGAGCCCCATATTGGGTTCCAGGCTGAGAGCCAGGAGTCTGCTTGAGATTCTCTCTCCCCTTCTGCTTCTCCTCCTCCCCCTGGCTCATGTGTGTGCTCTAAAAGAAAGAAAGAAAGAAAGAAAGAAAGAAAGAAAGAAAGAAAGAAAGAAAGAAAGAAAGAAAGAAAGGATTCATTAAAAAATATGTATATATAAAATAGATTTTGACCTGCAAATTTCTTAAACTCCAACTTAGAGATACTTGAAGGATGTTATTTTCCAACTTAAATTCAAGAATATATTTTAAAATAACTTTTATAGTTGAATTTCTTATTTTACTACTTATTTTTTTAGTTTCCTTATGTCATAGATTCTTCCCAAAGAATTTGATTTTAACTTCATCTCTTTATTATTATTTTTTGTTATTTCTCACATATACATAAAATACTTGAGTCATGACAATGTGAAATATTACCATTATAACTACCACTGCAGATAACTTTTCCAATAACTTAATCCTGCTTGCCATCTTGGTATCAAGTCCCCAAAGAGGATTTTTAAATTGGCATCTGAACATTTTCAGTGTTTCAAAGGGAACAAAATTCATTAGTATCATAGCAGAGCATGCAATTTGCCCTCCTTAGGACTACTCCATTACTAACTTTCAGATATTTCCATTTAAATGGTGTAATAATTTTCCAGGTTTTGAAAAAAACTAGTTCATATATCTTAGTTGGAAAATGAAGGGTAATAAGTAGGTTTCCTAGTTCACTGGAACCCCCCACCCCACAATAAATCAAGTAAGTATTTGAATTTCTGTATTTCTGTTAACAGAAAGAACTTTCTTTAAAGAAAGCAAACTTACGACAATCTAGGAATTGCATACAAATATAAACAAAGAGAACAAAAACTTTGTCAAACAAACAGATTGATTTCTTGGGCTTTAATTTTCATTATTTATAGGCTCTGGGATGTTAGTATTACTGTCTAACTCAAGAAACTGATAAATCAAGAAGTACAAATCTCAGTCAAATTTTAGAATGAAAATGTAATTAAAAGAGTATGGTCCAATTAGAAAGCAAAGAAAGGACAAACCATTTCTCTTAAGTAATATAACTTCCTTTGATAGTTGTATTAGCACTCCATAACTGTGGTATTCTAAATGATAAACAATAAAAAGATGACACAAAATACAAGAAAACAGAAGGTATAAGTGTTCTACAAAGTGCATTATATGTCCAAAATGTAAAACCCAATCACTTTGATGTACAAAATAACCACAATGGGACACCTGTGTGGCTCAGTGGTTGAACGTCTGCCTTTGGATCAGGGCATGATCCTGGGGTGCCTGGATTGAGTCCTACATCAGGCTCCCTGTGGGAAGCCTGCCCATGACTCTGCCTCTTTCTCTGTATCTCTCATGAATATATAAAATAAAAAAATAACCACAATGGTAATCTCATAAATAAATTTTAATCCCTTAAATAAATCTATTTTTTTCAGTGTTTTCAAAGCCACTTTTAAAAAGATTTTATTTGAGAGAGAGAGAGAGAGAGAGAGCACAAGTGAGGGAGGGGTGGCAGAGGGAGAAGGAGAAACAGACTCTGCACTGGGCAGGCTCCATCCCAGGACCCCAAGTTTATAACTGAAACCAAAGGCAAATGCTTAACCCACTGAACCACCCAGGCACCCCTCAAAGTCATTTTAAATTGACTAACTCATTTGATAATTATAATAATCTTGTGTATAAAGGGAGAAATTCTTATCCACATTTTTAAAATATGAAATAAACTAATCAACTTTCCTAATGTCAAATAGTAAGGGCAGAACCAGGATGAGAATGAAAGGCTTCAAAATCCTAGTCAAGAGTTCTAATAAAAGCAAAAGATCAATTTATCAAAAAATGGAATACTACTCAGCCATTCAATAAAATGAAATCTTGCTATTTGCAACAATGTGGATGGAACTCGAGTGTATTATGTTAGGCAAAATAAGTCCATCAGAAAGACAATTATCATACGATCTCAGTCATATGTGGGATTTAAGCAAAAAAACAGAGGATCATAGGGGAAGAGAGGGAAAAATAAAGCTGAAATCAGAAAGGGAGACAAACCATAGAGTATTAATCATAGGAAAGAAACAGAGTCACTGGAGGGGGGTGAGGGATCGGGCAAGTGGGTGATGGACAGTAAGAAGGGCAAGTGATGGAATAAGCACTGGGTGTTATATAAGACTGATGAATCACTGACCTCTACTTCTGAAACCAATAATATTTAAATTAACTGAATTTAAATAAAATAAGATTTACATTTAAGAAAATGGGAAAAAATGATTGTCTTATATCAGACAATGCTTAAATTAGATTCGTTTATTTTAAAAAAAAATTTAAAGATTTTATTTATTTATTATTCATGAGAGACAGAGAGAGAGAGAGAGAGAGAGAGAGAGAGAGAGAGGCAGAGACACAGGCAGAGGGAGAAGCAGGCTCCATGCAGGGAGCCCGATGTGGGACTCGATCCTGGGTCTCCAGGATCAGGCCCTGGGCTGAAGGCGGTGCTAAACCGCTGAGCCACCCGGGCTGCCCTAGATCCATTTATTAATTGAGATCCAAGTTGGCCTT